CTCCTCCCCGGTAGGGAGCTGGCGTACCAGATCGCCGAGCAGTTCCGTGTCCTGGGGAAGCCCCTCGGCCTGAAGGACTGCGTGGTGGTGGGCGGCCTGGGTGAGTGCTGCTGCGCGCGGGTCAGAGCGTCCGCCCTTCCCCTCCGGCCCTAGTACGGTTGAGAAAGAGCAGAGCTCCCGGGGAGGCTCTCCTTCCACACGGTGTGTTTTCTTCGTGCTGAGGAGCCATTATGCAGTGGCCAAGGCAGAGGAGGCTAGTGGAAATGAGGAGAGTGACATTTTCTGGCCTTACAGACCAAGCGATTTTAGGGTCCATGTTCAGTTGCCCATAACTCGGCTCTCTGGTTCTTGGTGCAGACATGGTGGCGCAGGCACTGGAGCTCTCCCGTAAACCCCACGTTGTCATCGCTACGCCCGGCAGGCTGGCAGATCACCTCCGCAGTTCCAACACTTTCAGCCTTAAAAAACTGAAGTTCTTGGTAAGGCGGCTTTCCAGGTTTTTTTTAACGCTTTTCAGATTTTTAGCTTTGTAGGTATGCACGCAGGTGATCTCATTTATTTTCGGCTGTGCCTAGGTTTTGGATGAAGCTGACCGGTTGCTGGAGCAGGGCTGTGCTGACTTCACTGCGGACCTGGAGGTGATTCTGGAGGCTGTTCCAGCACGCAGGCAAACGTTGCTGTTCAGCGCCACGCTAACCGATACGCTGAACGAGCTGAAGAGCCTGGCTGCAAACAGACCGTTCTTCTGGGAGGCTGTGTCCGAGTAAGTCTTCATCCACTCCACCGAGCAGATGAAGAATCCTGTTTCCTCTCTGTTATCTCGTCTCCTCGCTGTCTCCCTTGTGTTCCATCTGCACTTGCCAAACCGGTGCTTCTTGGTGGTTTGCCTTCCCCTCCCGACAGGGTGCGGACGGTGGATGAATTGGACCAGCGCTACTTGCTTGTACCCGAAGCAGTCAAGGACGCGTACCTTGTCCATTTAATCCAGACCTTCCAGGACGAGCACAAAGACTGGTCTATTATTATCTTTACCAAAACCTGCAAGTGAGTGGTATTGTTCCTCGAGATTGCTCTTAACATAGGGCTGCCTTTATATTTCTAGTTCAGATTCTAAATTCCCGCTGTATTCGGTGTTAGGCTGGGATAGTATTTGCTTCCTCAGTCTATTCTGAAATTTGGTAGAGAAGCACCTTTTCCTTTGAGCGGTCTGGGGCTGAAGGGCCACCCAGAAATGTTGCACGCCAGAAGGTCAAGCTGCTTTACCTTCCTGCACCTTCCTTTCCTCCTGCTGATGGATACTGGAAAGGGATGGGGCATATAGCACTGTCTGCTCCACCGGGCTGTTCCCTTTCCTCGGGTGGTTCAAGGGACTGGGATTGAGCCGCGGAGCTGGTGACATTCCCGTGAGTGCAAGTGGGAATCCAGTCACTCTCTGGGCTGAGTGGGTGTGGAGTGGGTGTGCCGTTCCCTACCTCTGTTAGAGCGCTTCAGTAATTAATGGCACTGCAGTAATTGTAGTGTGAGGGCTCCTCGAGGAACCCCAGCTCTGTCCTGATTCATCAGCTTTACGTTTCCCTGTTATGTTCTGATTTTTTGTTTGTTTGTTTTCTTTCAAGGGACTGCCAGGTCTTGAACATGATGCTTAGGAAATACAGCTTTCCTTCTGTAGCTCTGCATTCCATGATGAAACAGGTGAGTGACGGGACACCCCTGGGAGATGGATCCTTCCAGCTGCATCCCTGAGCCAGACGCCTGTCCCAATCCTACAGCTCCTGTGGCTCACAACAGCCCTCATACAGGCTTTTCTCTTTGCAGCGGCAACGATTTGCAGCTTTAGCAAAGTTCAAGTCCAGCATCTTTAAGATTCTCATTGCCACTGATGTTGCTGCCAGGTAAGGGAAAAATGCGGTCTCTGTTGCCAAAGGTCTTAAGCCTGCTTTTTAAGCACCAGAACCGCTGTGGAAATTAGGCTGGGTTTGGCAAGGGGAGAGCTTTAAATTCCCCCTGCCTGGGTAGGACAGGGTTGTTTGCTTCCGTTGTAGAACACCTCTGAGCTGTGTTTTGGAGGCCATTTGTGCGTGATGTAGCTCTGATCCTGGCTTGTTTTGCTGCAGCAGGTGTGTGTATGTGTTCTGGCAGAATGATTTCTGTGAGGCTTAGTGTATCCTCTGGGCCTAGGAGGGAGCGGCAGGCTACAAGGCGACATTGCATTTTGTGACTGTTGGAGAGCTGCATGAGGAGAGGGTTTGTCCTAGAATCATAAGCCCTAGAGCCCATAAAGGCTATATTCATGAGAGTATAGGGCTCTTGGAGAAAGAAAGCAGGGACAGGAACTTAAACTGCATATATTAAAATAGTGTTTCTCAGCTTCCGTTCTCTTTCCCTGCATTCCAGAGGTTTGGACATTCCTACGGTACAAGTTGTCATCAATCACAACACTCCCGGCCTGCCGAAAATCTACATTCACCGGGTTGGCCGGACAGCCCGTGCAGGTGAGCAGGGAAAACTGCGTGCGGTTTGCTGGCTAAAACTGGGATCCCAGTGCTGGGGCTGAGCCCTGAGTGGGTGCGAGGCGGCTTCACAGCAGCTGCAGCGCAGTCTTCTCAGCGCCAGATCTACTCGGATCGCTGGCTCGGCTTCCTGCCTTAGGGTTGCGATGGTGGCTCACCCTGACTTGTGTCTGATCTGCACCAATAGTTAGCTGAATTTTCAGAGCAAATACAGACCCCTCTGAGGATCCTGTCACCATAATGTGCTAGCCTGACTCATGGGGATGGATGGAATTTGGCATGGGTTAGGCTTCATCTCCCTCTGCTTGTCAAGATTCATATATCACTGTGTTTTCATCATCCAGGTCGGAAAGGAATAGCTATTACACTGGTGACGCAGTACGACATCCACCTTGTACATGCTATTGAGGAGGAAATCAGTAAGTACAGCACCAGTAATGCTGCTAAAATGTGGGATCATGATGTTCCTTTGTGCTTGTGGAACTTGCAGTACACGCAGTACTGATTTCATCGGTGCAGAATGTCTGATCCAGAACATCAGCATAAAAATGGTTTCCCTTCCCTGTGTGGCTAAGGCTTGGAAAAGAGCAGGAGCACTTGAATCTCCATCAGCAGAATCAAAATTCTGCTCTTGAGTGGGCCAGGCGTGAACGTGTTTGTCTTCCTGCTATTTCTAGTGGAGGAGAACCAGCGTGTTGAACTTTCTCTGTTACCTTTTTATTAAAGCAACCAGCTTCTTCCCTACTTCCTTGCTACTGTGTATGCTGAGGTGGACAAAAAGAACAGGTTGCTTTGCATAGGTTCAGACTTCATCTTTTTTTTTTTTAGAAAGTAGACCTAATAAATGCAACATCTTGAGCTATGGGGAATTGTAGGCAGAGGGGAGGATTTAATCCTTTGTTGTAGGCCTGAGGAAGTCAGAGCGATCGTAACATATGACAACAATTCCACTGATAATCAGTGGAACCATATTGGGTTTTTTACTAGTTGAGAATCTGCCCCTGGATTTTGTAACCAACCGTGGTCTGTAAATGTCTCGCCCTGATGCAGAACTGAAGCTGCAGGAGTTCTCTGTGGAGGAGCAGTCTGTGCTTGACATCCTCACCCAAGTGAACGTCACCAGGAGGGAATGTGAAATAGTGAGTGTGCAAACATGCAGCCCCTTTGTTCAGAGGACTGGAGATCTTGGGCAGCTGGGTGTAACCAGGAGATTCGTTGCAGTCTAACATGCGGCTCTGGATACGCAGCTTTGCTCTTGAGCACATAAATAAGAATTTTTGTTCCTTCTTCTAGTGGAAGCACATAGACCTGCGGGGGGGAGGGTTGTTTTAGTTACCTTCCCTAGGTTTGGTCTATTATTGCACATTTTTGCAGCATTTTTATGCTGCTGAGTGTTGAGGCTGGTACTTTGAGGGGAAGATCTGCAGGCTACCAAATGTGTGCACACTGGCGAGGTTCTGCTGACCCTTTAGAGCTGCACTGCTTTTCTGCATGTCAGACTCAGTGCTTGGTTACTGATTGCCCTGCTGTATTTTTGCTTTGACAGGAGCTGGAGGGAATGGATTTTGATGAGAAGAAAGAAGTAAATAAGCGGAAACAAATGATCCTGGAAGGGAAGGTGAGGGTTGCTGCTATATAAACGACTTTGATCAATAGCTAGGATAACGCCATCGATGTGGAAGAGGAATGACAGTTCCTCCTCACTGCTGTGGTGTGTCCACCTCACTTCCCTTCAGGGTGGTGAAGTTCTGTCTTAAAGGGTGACTGATAATAAAAAGTGCATTGGAGTAGTGGCTGACTTTTGCAGCCTACTCAGTCACAGGCTAGAAGGCGGCGTGGGCATCTAGGAATGGCAAAGGGGCTGGCGCTGTCCCTATGCATGTCACTAGTGTCCCGGCATTTGCCATTGCAGGATCCAGATCTGGAGGCAAAAAGGAAGGCAGAGCTAGCCAAGATCAGGAAGAAAAACAAGCAATGCCGTGAGAAGGTCCAGCAGACGCTGCAGAAGAAAAAGCAACTGCAGCTGAAGAGGAAACTGCAGAAGAAGATGGAGCGGCGGAACAAACTGCATGCTATGGAAGAGAAACAGCATCCTTTGGCCTGACTTGCTTGGCTCCATCTGCCCTGACGTTGCTGCTGCTTTGGGAATACTGGGATCTAACACGTTTTAATGTTGACACTTCTGACCCGAAATCAGTGTTAGAGAGTATGGGGAATGTAGGTGAGGGGAGAAGGGAGACTTTGATCAACTGTCTCCGTTATTTTTCCTTCCTGCACAATGCTGCTGGCTTGGGCCATTCCTGGCAGGCCGGATCAGTCTCCTGGAAGAGTGTCTTTCAAGAGCATGTTTCCTTCCTCCAGCAAAGGAGAGGCCAGACCTGAATTCTTGGTGACGTGAAGGGAAATAAAGATCCCCTCTCTCTTCCCCCTTCATTCATCCTTTCAACGGCTGGTGCTTGCCACTCACACTTGTTTATATCAACAGAATCTCCCCTGAGCCAGAGTCTAAAAATACTGTGACAAAATGAGCTCAGCCCCTGTCTGCGCCATAGCCCAGAGTTTTCTGAGAGGAAAATTCCTGGCACATGTGGGAAGGTTGTATTGTGTGGCTGGTCCTGGGGTCTTCTTGGGGTGATTCTGCTTTATACGTTCAAGCGATGCTCTTGCCTGCAATTGTCTGCCTTGGCTCAGGCTCCAGCCCTGGGCTGCTATCCGGAGGGATAGCAGAGTCATGGTTTGGAGACCGGGGCTGCTGGGACTCTGCTTTCCCAGACGATCAGGCAGTTCAAGGACCATTTCTGGCACAGAAGAACCCCAGGAGCAGGATTCCCTCGTTTCTTGCACCATCCAAGACTAACCAGAGTGGTTTATATTTGGGCCTGCTCTGTAGGTGTCTGGGCCTCCCTGTGTAGATTTGCATCACGTATGTTTGGAACAGGAGGTTGGTTAGGCTGGAGGGGGCTGAGCCCTCCTAAGAAACGGTTGCATTTCCCTGTGGAGATGGAACTTAAAATCCCAGAGGAGCTCGGGCCAGAGGTTGGCCAGCTCTGTTCTGATGTCAGGTTTGATCCTCAGTGCCTTCTTGAATGTTAAGAGCTTTCTATGACTCGAGACTGAAGATCTGTTATTTCTGTCCTCTGGCTTACAAAAGCAGTTTCTACGGTCAGTGCCCAAATAAATATTTATTGCAACAAGTGACTGGATGTTTGACTTTCTCCAACACACGGGGGAGTTGTGGGATCTTAGGGGCGGGGCACAGTACTTGTGCGGGCAAACAGCATGGAGATAAAATCGGTTTTATTTCAAGAGATGAGTTGGATAAGGATTGAGCTTCTTGTGGGCGTTGCATCCCTCAGTCCCTTCATTGCAACCTCAGCCAAGCTCCTTTCCTGGGAGCATGCGGTCTCTGTGGTGCTTTTGCCTGACTCAAGCGTGGTCTGTGCACAGCGAGGTCTTGCAGAGGAAAGCTGGCGTTTCCCTCCGGGAAACCCCTCCGGCCACGCACAGCAGGTCCTGGTGCCTTCAGGCCACGCACAGCAATGACAGGGGCTTGGGAGGCGCGGGTCCCTGCCTGGTGGCAGGGGAGATGGGTGCGGTACCGCCTGGCGTTTCGGAGATGCCTGAACGCGTTCCTCCTCGCTTTGTCCTCTTGGGTGCCCTCCAGGAAGGGAGAACGCGCTCCGTAGCCTGCCTTGTAGCACAGCTCGCTGTCACCGGCGGCAGGCGCCGCGGCTCCTTTGAACCCCAGCTCGGTGCCACGGGCGCCAGCCGCTGTAGCAGCGGCAAATAGGTTTGTATCAGACTGATGCTTTCTGAATGCTAAATGCTTCCACAGCCTCGTGCGTGCGTATTTGTGGAACAAGCCTGTTAGCTGTAGATTAAAAAGAGATCCTCTCTGGGACAGGCTGCTCCTGCCCTCCCGGGGAGGCTGCTGAGACTGCCTTTGAGCGCCGGTTGATCCCCTCCCTCTCGCAGACACTTCTTAACCTGCTGTCTGAAGTCTCTTTGCTTCAGCCTGGTGGGGGTTTCTCAGTTCGCCTCCTTCCAGCACAATGTGACATGTGGGGTTTGATCAAGGCTCTTGTCTTGAAGCTTTATTCAAAATTCCTTTTAATACATCGCCTGCCTTTCTTGAGCAGCCTTCTCTGTGAGGGTAGGACACGTGCTGGAAATGAGAGCTCTCTGTAGTGTTGACGAGATGTTCTTGTTTCAGATAACCAGTTTTGGGAGTGGCCGAGTAGAAAAAGAGGTTGCTGTGCTAGTTGGGATGTAGGAAGATGCCTTAAATTCCCAGATTAGGAATTTACATCTTGCCCGGGGCCAGAGGACACTGGGTGACGCTCCTGTACGTGCTGTCAGTACTGCCCCCCAAGTAGGATATTCCATTCTGGGGTTGCTAAGCATTGTCATAAACCTTTGGGATCCCCTAGGAATATAAGGACTTCCTCCTCATCGCAGCCTAGATTGCGTCTTGGCT